TCTTCGGGCCGAGGGCTCACAACCGTCGTTTGTGGGTTTGTGGCAGGAAGAACTCTCAGCCATGCGATCCGGGCGCTGGTCTGAAGACTGCCGGCTGGGGGCAATTTCATGATTTCAGTGTCAGGCTCTTCAGGGCTATCTGTGGCCAAGGCCTGTGGACAGTGGAGGTATGCCAGGTAATATATTAACACAGGGTCAGACTAATTACAAATAATATTCCCTGATGGTCTTCGGAGCTCCAATGCCCGCAGGAGCGGGCTCCCAGAATCGCCGGTTCGCGCTTCAGGTGCCTTCAGTGGGTAAAGCATGCGTAGTTCCGGCAGAAATCCCAAACACATGACACCATCTAATGGACTCACACTCATCTTGGATGATAACGGTTCAGTAGGTATTTTGGTCGAGGCGCTGACAGTGACACACCTGCGAAGAAGGCTAAACCAAGAATCACGGCAGGCATTCCGCAAGGCCGACGAGATAGCGAGGACGCCTGATCCTCTCAAGAGAGTCTCTCGGGCTTCGATTCACCTTGGTTCGGGGTGGCCTGCAGGGCCGCGCATGTTCTCGGATGGACAACGGATCCGCATTGTCTTGGGGTTTTTTGGATTATTCCAAAGACCTGAAGCACATTCCAGCTGAAGGCTGAGGCTTGCTTGAGTTGGGGATTCAGCGCTTGAAGGTTGAAGGTTTCAAGACTTAGAACTTTGGCTGTTTTCCGGGCCGCGAGTTCAGGCCTCAGATTGCTTACGGTGGTGTATTTTGCCCAGCCGTTTCACTGAGTTCTAGGCCATGTCTGGATGTACTCTTGTGGACACCCTTCGCTATAATTCTTACTCTTAACGTCAGAGCATCACAGTGCAAAGCAGGCACCGTTTGGGGACCCAACTGGCAACGCTCTCGAGCTTACCCTCAGATGACCAAGCCCGCCGGCCCCCAGCCCAACAACCTCTGCAAACAGATCGGGTCCCCGTTCGATCCTGGTCGGGGCCGACCGCTGTTGGAAGGCGAGGTCATGTTGTCTATGTCCCCCTTGGGGAATTATTTTATGTTTATATAAAACCCAAAAGGATATTAAAAATATTGTTTTTTTATTAAGGTTCTAAGGGGAGTACAGTTGTATCAGTTGTATCCACTCCTTTGAAGAGTCGTGAGCATTGGTAGACAAACGCCAGGCCGGCCTGCCTGGACCGACGGGCCAGTCACCAAGCGGGAAGAGGTTATGTTTGTCTCTTGAGAGTTGTCCCAGAGGTTGGTTCGAGCTGAAATCACCTTGGCATGTAGAGCCGCAGAATCGTGGAAGGAACAGATGATTTCAAGTAAACGGCTGGGCCTTTGCCTCCTGAACAGAAGTCTCTCCTGCTCAGGCCATCGGGCCGGCTGCAAGGGGTTCTCAAAACCAATTTAAAGCCTACAAGTTGGGAGGTTCCCCCTTATATCCCCTTAAACTAACAGTCCTTAATTTACTAGGGATTATAGTACCGTATACTAACAGTCCTTACAGTCCTCACTTTACTAGGGATTATAGTAGGGGGTTACCGTAATCCCTAGCAAGGACTGTTAGTATAAGGGGGAAACCCTAAACCCTAAACCCTAAAACCCTAAAACCCTAAAACCCTAAACCCTAAACCCTAAACCCTAAACCCTAAACCCTAGACCCTACAAGCTTAGACAAGATCATTCTCCGAGGCCGCATCGCGAAGAGGCTCTCCAACCTTCTTTCGTTGGGGTTTAGGGTTTAAAGTGGGTTTGGGGTTTGGGGTTTATGGGGTTTAGGGTTTAGGGTTTGGGGTTTAGGGTTTAGGGTTTATGCACCCTGCGCCGAGGAGTCTTAGGATGTCGCGGGATGTCATGAGGTTCTAATTTCGTTTGACTTGCGGAAGTGTTCTCTTGCACATTGGCATGACCAAGAAGGGCTTGCGCTCAGGGCGCGCGCCTCGCAGCGAACGGTGCAAGCCGCACGGACAATATTCTCTGCGCTGTGCTGGCGCTCGTCAAGGCTGCACTTTCGCTGCATCAGCTTGCGTATTTCCTTGACCTTTTGCTGCACTCTGTTCGCTGTACCGTGTCACGGTACTGGCATGTTCTGTCGCGCATGCGATGCATCAGCTTCTGAGCTGCTACTTGACTCATGCACCAGATCTCCTGAAATCTTAACCCTAAGCCCTAAACCCTAAACCCCTAAACCCCTAAACCCCTAAACCCCTAAACCCCTAAACCCCTAAACCCCTAAACCCCTAAACCCCTAAACCCCTAAACCCTAAACCCTAAACCCTAAACCCTAAACCCTAAACTTCACAGGAGCTCGACAAGCAAGGGCTGGAGCTCGTGCGACGTGACAGCCTTTGTTTGGCTTTGGCTAAGGCGCAGGAGTCCAGAGCCATGTTGTGACCCCGCAGTGAACCGGGTTTAGGGGTTGGGGTTGGGATTTAGGGTTTAGGGTTCAGGGTTCTACCTGACATACTCCTTGAGTTGTGCCACTTAGGCTCGGTGGAGCAGCGCATGACCGACTTTTGAGGTCTCAGTGTACAGGCCAAAGCCTCAAGCACCTGTGTACACACCGACACTGTTAGTCAATCATAGGCCTATATAGGCGACTTCTTCCAACCAAACCCTAATCCCTAATCCCTAAACCCTAAACCCTAAACCCTAAACCCTAAACCCTAAACCCTATTTTGTTAAAATTGTTACACTGGCAGTCGTGAGCCATGCTTCATGTCTCATCGGTCGCGGGAGCATCTTTTTGAGGCGAGCCCACAGGGCCAGAAGCCGCCCGCTGTGGGTGGTCGCCTGAGGTTGCCATGCCAAGCCCGTTTAGGGTTTAGGGTTTTGGGGAGGCTCAACGGTCTTGCCATGTCTTGGGTCAGGCTCTGCGATGCCCACCAGAGCTGGAGCAAAGGGCCCTGGTCTCAAATCACCCGCAATAATCCGCAGTACAGGCGCTATGGGTTTAGGGTTTAGGGTTTTAGGGTTTAGGGTTTCGGGTTTAGGGTTTATGTAAGGGCTATCCGCATGTGTTATAGACGTGCTCCACTTCTCTGCGGAGTGTGCAAAGCGTTGGGTGGATTCAAGAGGCCTGTGGCATTATCAACATGGCCTATGTTGGTTTGTATGGTTTTAATAGAGCACACAATGTAACAAAACTTTCCAAATATTCTTCAAAAGTTTTCAAACATTCTTCAAAAGTTTCCAAAACCTCCTCAAAAGTTGTCAAATATTCTTGAAAAGTTTCCAAAAATTCTTCAAAAGTTTTCGATTGTTTTCAAAAGTTTCCAAATATTCTTCAAAATGTTTAAGAAAGTTTTGAAGACTTTTGAGAAAGATTCGAAAACTTCGAGAAAGTTTTGAAAACTTGTTTTGGATTTCTGCAAGTTCTCGCTTGCCCAAAATTCAACATAACTTACGTTGAGCGGCCCTTTCTTTTAATTGTATTTTGAATAAAACAAGGGCTCACTCAACATAAGTTACGTTGAATTCCGGGCCCGCGGAAACTTTTGAAAATATTGTGAAAGTTTTGAAAAGTTTTAAGAAAGTTTGGGAAACGTTCAAGAAAGTTTGGGAAAGTTTTGAAAAGGATTGCGAAAGTTTTGAGAAAGTTTGGGAAAGTTTTGAGAAACTTTGGGAAAGTTTTAAGACTACGTCCCAAACAATTCCAAATGTTTCGAAAACTTTTGAGAAAGTTTGCCAAACAATTTTGAGCAACTTATGTTGAGAGTTTTAGTGAGGCCAGCCACAGGCCTTCTTGAATCCACCCAAGCAAAGCGCCAAACTGAAAGCTGACAATGCAGTTGGCACGTGCCTTGATAGCTGCCAAAGTCACTCAGGGCTGGCCTTTGATGAAGTTGGAGGGACGTCCTGAGGTGGAATGGGTCTAGTAGGCCTCATCGCGTGGATGCGTGTGAATCCATGCACCGGCACCTGTGTGCTCCATGACCTGCCTGCCTGCAAGGTGCACCCTCTGTGTCCACCTCTGCGGATGCTTTGGGAGAGGAGACAAAGCGCAATGCCAAAGCCAGCCTCGATGAAGGGCGCGGTCGGGCCAGCTAATGATGAGCAGACATGATTTTACAGGATGTCTCCCGCACCAGCGTCTTCCTCGAAGCTTGGGGGCATGAATTGTCTAATCTGCAAGAAATCAGCAGATTCAGCAGAATTTGGACCACAGAAAAGCTCCATGCGCCACATACCCATGATTGTTCTGATTGCGATTATGTGTAGCACATGTACAACCTGTAGTATATTTGCAAATTCCTTTGTCACCCCCATTATGTCTATCGCCTTTATCACCAGTTGTTATGAGCCCTGAAAGCTTCAAAGCCCTAAAGCATAAAATTCTAAGCCGGCAAGGGTATAATGTTACATCGCGAAGCAGTGTCACTCATGTTGGTGTTTTCGCTGCTTTCCAAATCCTAAATCGTGAGCAATGTCCCCTTCATGTTGGCAGCATGTGATGTGATGGGAGCCGTGACTTTCGATGGCACAAGTTCTGTAAACCTCACAACTCCCTTTTCGGATTTGTATGATCAAGAAAATGGCGACGAGTTTATTTGTATGAGTGGTTGTCCAAAGACATTTTTTGCAACTGCAGCGTCTCGGTTTTAAAGCCGCAAGCCTCTGGTCCATCGCAACCATGGGATGTGTCGAAGCTGGCTGTGGAAATCGCGTGCCTGACTCCTGTTGGTATTCTTTCGGCTTTTGTCTGTAGCGTCAGTCGTTGTTTTCATGTGAAAGGTGGAGGAGCCCTAAACCCTAAACCCTAAACCCTAAACCCTAAACCCTAAACCCTAAACCCTAAACCCTAAACCCTAAACCCTAAACCCTAAACCCTAAACCCTAAACCCTAAACCCTAAACCCTAAACCCTAAGCTTAGGTACAGGGGCCTACCGGCTCGCATCCCCGAACAGATACAACTTCAGCTGATGGGCCAGAGCTTTCTTCCTATTTCATGGCCGCTTACTTGGATGGCAAGCTGTTACAAAGCCCAAGATACAGAAGCAGCCGCATCATGGACGTTCCCACTTTCATATATTCGAATTATTCGAACACGAAGATTGAAGTCCGGGATGAGCCGATTCACGTGTGGCAGTTCGCTTTTGATTTGCGTGAAGTACCGGGAGCTAGCGACGAAGTCGTGGTGTTGTACCATTACACTGACGAAACTTGTTTCAGGCACGGCTTGCGGGTTCCTGCTGTTCAGCGATTTGTTTTGAGGTTCAGGGTCTGAATGTAGTGGGGGGCTTCGGGGTCTTGATTGCGCCGTGGGTTTTGGGGGTTTCGCATTCGAGGTCTGCGGTTTTGGCGCGCTGATTTTCCGGGTTTGGGGTTGAGGTGTATGCGCATAAGATTAAGAACCTTTTCAAATTTAGGGTATCACCCTCTCCCTAAGATGAAAATCCCCAACCCCAAATACTATTATTATCATTATGATTTATGACTACTGCTTTTCTTGTTACCATTACTGTTATTATCCTTATTACTAGTTACTATATTTTGTTATCCTTCTTGCTATTATCACTAGCACTATTTTGTTATCGTAATGCTTTTCATAAAGTCCATAATGTGTGCGGTTTTCATATTGATCTGCTGTGTCGGGCCAAAGATCTTCAGGGTTCAAGTGACCGTAAAGGACCCCAAACCTGACGCCTGAACCCAGGGAGGGGCCGTGCTATCAATTGGGGAACCCCTAGATGCCCTTCATATTACCAAACAAACCAATGGCCCATAGTTTGAAACCCTTTAGGGGGCAAGGACCCTATGAAGGGACCGTGTAACTATCCGAAGAGTGGCGCCCTTAGCTCTACAGGGAAGAGCTCCTAATAGAGACGAGTTTAGGGTTCTGGGTTTTTTAGGGAGCCTTTCGGCAGTAGTAGGGAAGGTCAGTCGGGAACATTGGGTTACTCATCCTTAAGCCCCCCCTAAGGACCTTAGGGACCCTTCAACATAAGTCTTTCCGAACTTTGCATCGCCGGTTTGCGGCAGGGTATCTAGGAGCATGGAGAAGCCAACCCTAACCCCTAAACCCTAAACCCTAAACCCTAAACCCTTACCCCTTAACCCTTACCCCTTAACCCTAAACCCTAAACCCTAAACCCTAAACCCTAAACCCTAAACCCTAAACCCTAAGCCTTACAGTATGTGCCCTGGCCATGCTCCTGTTTCCCAAACCCGGACTTTCAGGCTACTCCGCTACTCCGCAACTCCCCAAAGTAGGGACCTGATACGTGACACGTGTAGCAATGTTATATTGGGTGGCTTATGAGTATAAGGGATTTACGCTTTAACCCCCTGAGGAACGTGGGAAACTTGAAGCAGACCGCGACCGAACTTTGGGCGTCCCTTGTGTACGAGCGAGCGCACTTCGGCCTGGGGATCTACGCGACGCAGCACGAGCCTGCGGTGCTCTGCCAGTTGTTTTAGGGACTTTAAGCGTCTGTAGTTTTACTTGGTGACAAGGGTTTTCAGGGCTGTTCTGGGGGTCTGGGGCCTTGAGGGCTTTTTGAGCGTTTGGGTTGGGGAGTCGGGCAGTGTCGAGTTCCGTGACTTGATGCCTGCAGCCGAGCAGTAAAGTCAACTCCTCGGGTCTTTTTTCCGAGGCGAGGTTGCAGCTGGCAATCGAAGGCAATCAGGGGTACCATTGTCCTCGCTACTTGAAACAGCGTCCTCAAGCTTGAATACACGTCCGTCGCAGTGACATCCAAGCTTCTCTCTCATTGGTGTTCGAAGTGCCTTCTTCTTTTGCTACTCTGGAAGGTTTGACGCAACTTGCGGTTCCTTTGTTTCGGGGGAACTGGAGACAGCAACAGTATGATGCGTGCGAGGTCTGGGGCAATCGTATGAGAGTCCTGCTCAACAACTACAGCAATGGCGATCCGCTTCGCGAAGACCCACTATCGGACGATGGGCAGAAGAGGGACAGCCAGTGGGGATCAGGCCAGGGCTGACTAGTGACTAGATCAGCTTTCAGAACCATGCGAGATGGGCTGCAAGAGTGAGTAGCGAGATGGGTGAACGCTGTTGTTTGTTGCTCATCAGGGCGAAGCGTTATCTGCATGTACCTTAGGCCGAGGAGAAGGGCACCGGGCGGCTTACTGTGTACCTCTTATAGTTCCCAAGAACTTTGCCTACAATGTTCATACGACTCCGACTCCTGACATGGCCGAGCTGGGAATCCCCGCAGGCTACGACTACCAGATGCGGCCTCTGCATGAAAACCGAGATGTTTGGATAGTTCGCCTTGCAGATGATGAGAAGCTGCATGCCATCATGCCATACGTCAGCCTGTTGGGACTCCTGGAGAAGCGTGTGGCTGACTTGCAGCAAAACGAGCCCACGAGCGATGCCACCCTTGAATGGATGGCTGAGATGTCTTTCTGGCTCAGAGCCCAAGACAGGACTGACCATGCCGACCAGCTTCTGCAAGACGTTCTGGCGCGCAATGAGAAGAGAAGTACCCGGCACCCCCGAACCGACGCATGGACTTCTGAATTGAAGAACGCGAAGCTCTTCGGCTTGGACAGCATGTTGTCTGACATTGGCGGCCGCCTGGCTGGCCGGGCTGGCGCAGGCAACACAAGCAGCGCATGCGCCGCCCTCGCAGTGTCAGGCTCGAAGGTCGAGACAGCCGAGGTTATTTCAAGCTCGCATGAAGCATCCGACCTGGCAAAGGGCTCCGACAAGTTTGTGCATTTCGGAATCCTGTGCGATGGGCCCTGCAAGGCCAATCCGATTGTTGGAGCCCGATTTCAAAGTGAGGTGCGTGAGAACTTTGACCTGTGCGAGGAGTGTTTCGTCAAGGCGCTGGAGCACGGGGAGGCTGAGAAGGACTTCCTTCGCATCGACGACACTTGGGCAGGGGTAAGGATGATGGGTCCCGCGGGCGATGCATCAGTACATGCTGCGCTGCGCACGGGTTTCCACATAGAGCCTTTCCGGGCGAGATGGCGTGAGACCGAGAAGGAAGGCAAGAAAACCTACCAGGAACACTTCGACTTGTGTGCAGGGCTCGGGGTGGCCGGGTGTGGGTCCCTACTCCTAGCACACCGATCTTTGCTGGGAAACGCCTTGATCATGCAGGGGCGTCTCACGGATGCGAGGCACGAGTACGAGGACATCTTGAGCAAGCAACGGAAAGCTCTAGGCCCCAGGCACCCTGACACCAATGATACCATGGACATGTTAGGCAGGGTTCTGGTCCGACTTGGTCATTTGAGTGATGCGGAAGCCTGCTACAGGGAGTCTTTGCAAAGCCGCAGGGAGAGGCTGGGTGAGTGGCACGCTGATACTCTTGGAACCAAATACGGCTTGGTACAAATTCTGGTGTCTCCATGCATTCAGCAGTTCAAAGAAGCGGAGGCCCTGTGTGAGGACATCATCCGCGGACATGAAAGCCATGGCAACACATCAGACGCAGCTGCGGTAAAGCTCATGCTGGCAGAGGTGCAGCAGGCCCAGCCATGAAAGCACGAAGGAATAACACGTAAACGGATGTCAACCCAAAGTGAACCCTGCTGACCTGAAGTCGCGTGACGTGTCGAATTGCCAAAGCGCCCGAAACATCCCCTTAAACCCCGAGGCCCAAAGCTGTCCAGAAGCTGCTCAGCGCCTACAGCTTTCAGCAGCCGCTTCCATCGCAGAGGTCATCGGATCGGCGGACGTCGCCAAGTGGCTGTGCGAAGGCTAACAGGGTTATAGGGTCCATGAGCCCATGGTTCATTAGGGACCCGCAGTATCTAACATCCAAGATGGCTAAGCTAGCGCGAGCCTCTTTGTAAAGGACAGCTTGCGCAGCTCTGAGGCCACAGAAATTCAGCTCGGATTCCCGGGGTCGCTAAACCCTAAACCCCTAAACCCTAAGCCCGGGATGTATGGCAGCTGCGCAGCTGCTGTAGCATCCGGCCAGCATGCGACTACCATGTCACGGCCTTGTAAAGTCTTGTACAGGACCTCCAAGATTTCAAGGAATGAGGCGAATTCGGAAGTTTTCGCAGCCAGCGAAGCCGAAGAGTTTTATCATTTCCCCGCCCTCAGAAGTAGGAGTGGGTCCCCAATTAGAGGCACGCTTCTGAGTGACTCCTCTAGTCTGGTTTATCATTTCTTGTACGAAGCGACAGAGCTTTCCATTCCGACAGAGGGAGAGAGAGTTCCTCTTATAGGTCATTTCCAGAACGAGAGCAGACCTCTGACATGCTTTTTCTCAACCCCTCGATTGCGACTTAAAGGATCTTGTGCTTTCTTGTGAACAGATAACAAAAAAAAGGTACAGAGCTGCCGTGATCGATATTGAGGACTAGAATGGGTTTGTCACGTTCCTTTGAAAAGTAGATCGGAGTACTAAGAACTACTTGTGAGGATCTTTCTCTTTTCCTATTCGGAGATACAATACAAAATCTGAATTCTTATGAAGAGGTATGGAGGTTCTATCTTTCCATAGTATAAGCCTGAGGAGCTCTCTCATGCGCTCTGCGCCCGCATTTCGAAATAGGAAGCAAAGGATGAGCTTTCTCATGAAATCGACGAGCTCTTTCTTTTCGTTGTTAAGAGAGACAGGAGCTTTTATATAGGTCATATATGCGTTTTGTAGCCTTTGTTATAGTAAGATTCAGAGGAACTTTTTCATTTGTTTAGTACTGAAGGTGCTCTTCCACTTCCTATCAGCGTTTATCATCCCTGCAAAGAGGCAGAGGAGCTTGCCATTTTTCAGTTTGAACACTCAGGTGTATACGAGAACATATTCACACAAAAAAGAGTAAAAGTTCAAATGTAAGAATTGCTGTTGCTAGCGCCGTCCAGAAACAGTTGAAGCAAAACGAACTATGGGAGCCACATGCCTCGCCATTGACAAAAAGAACAGACGCAATCAAGAACATGGACAAATGACTTTACGTAGCTAATGTGTATTAGCTATAATTAGCTACAATGTCTAGTTATGTTGATTTCTAATTACATTGAACAAGCTTGTATGTTTTTTTTAAACACAAATTGTAGGTACTTGGGCCAAACCACGCTGCGCTATGTTCAAGGTCTTCGGGAGGTTGGCGGCTTCCTTGGACCGTTCAAAGCTGTATTTCCCACTTGCTCAAGTGGCACATTTGATCACAGATTTATCCTTTTTCACTTCCGCAGACGGCCCTTGCCTTTCGTGCACCAAGGCAGAAGGCACGCGCCTAGACAAGTAGATACAAATACGAGCACCCTAATCTTACCTTACCGCATGCTAGTTCTGCTGCCACAAACCAGTGGTCTTGATCTGCATTACCATCTTGGTCATGGCCACCATGCGGAGCTCCGCCGTGGCTGTGGACATCCCCATCCCAGAGCCACTCGTCTTCGCAGAATTCTGTCACGATGGTGGTTGCCTAGTTGCTGGTTTCGGGTTGGCTTCGGAAACTGGGGGGGGTGAGTGGCAGGCACAAGGCCGCTATTGAATATCAGCTCTTCGAGGCCACTTCGGGAAAGGTTATCGGTTATCGTGTTCCGGCCTCAGGGATTGTTTGGTTGAAGGGGATGCTGTATACGATTGTAAATCTCAACACAGTCAATGGAAGGGTACCGGAATCTATGGACATCCTCACTCCAAGCTCTCAAGGTATGGCGCCATTGCGACGGAGTCCATGAACCAAGAACAGCTACTCGTGGGCAGTTTGGGGGCCCACACGCATTGGGTACCCGAGAGACAACCTGAAGCCATTTTGAGCGCACCGCTTTCCCCACTGCATCAGGAAACTGTCAGCCCGGGCGATGACCGCCCTGGGCGCGCACACAAAGATGCTTGCCATGCAATGCCATGCGATGCCCTGCATGTGCGTTCGGAGGATCGGCAGGTCAAAGGCCACTGAGCTATACTTTGCTGGATTGATTGCATGGTGGGGTGCTGGCTTTCTTTGGCTTGTATGGGTGTTCACGGTTTCAGCCTTGGATGACTCCCATGAGAACTTTGTGCGGCGTTGCTGCTAATTCCATGTCAGCCTTCCCTTTTCAACGTGCGATTAAGCAGGTTAACAGGGTGGCTGCAGCACCCAGGATCTTCCAGAACGTTCGTGACGTCCAGGCCCAGAACATCCGTGAGAGGTGACTCGGATCATCGTTCATCAGCAGCAATTTGTTAGCTTTTGTGATGGCTTGCTTTCGGCACCCGCACGTCAAACCGTGAGTTTGCATTCAGGTGTTGTACAGACCAGTGGCTTGACGAGAACGAGCGAGAGTGGATATGTTTGGAAGCTTGTCTCCGTTGTGCAGGTGGTCGCGGTAGCTTACAAACCTGTTCTTCACAGATAGCTCCTGGCTGCACCACACTGCGCCCCCACCCTTAGGAGGAATAGAAGGCAGACCCATGACTCCATGACCAAAACAGCAGGATGCTTCATTCAGGCAGACGCATGACCCAAAAAACCCTAAACCCTAAACCCTAAACCCTGCTTCATCTTGCACGGCAGTTCTATCCAAGGACTCCTTGATGCGGTCGCGGCCATGGGCCAGCAACAGGGACAAAGCGCCACTTGGCCGAGGAGAGGGATACCATGAGATACTACTACTTGCTTGAGAACCCGGAAAATATACCATATTCTTTTGGGGTTCTTAGAGTGTCTTAGAGATACTACTAATTGCTTAAGAACCCCGGAAAAAAGATAATATTGTTCCTTATTTCAAGGGTAACATAGGGGTTGTTTTTTCTCAGAGGAAAGTTGTGATTGAAAAACCCCGCAGCCCTGACCAGCGCTTGACCTGCAGGTTCCCATATCCCTTCCGCGAAGCCACCAACAAGATGCGAGCCCTCGAGGGGCCCTGGTCCGGGGACAACGACCCCTTTCCGCGGGAGTGGACCCGCGGCGTGGCTGGGGACAAGGTGCAGGGCCACAAGTCATGAAGGTGATCTCCGAGCCTGAAGCAGTTGCAAAAGTACACACACACACAGACATCAACAACACCGATGTGTCAACAAAAAAGGGCTGCGCATGCCAAACCGCGCCTGAATCCGTGAACAGCCACTGTGTGCGTGCATGACATGCAAATGTGCTTTCCCATGAGCCAGAAGTTGGAATGGAACGTATGAGCCAAGAGCACAGCGCTGGGAGGTCCTGACCAACGTCCGTCAGGTCACGGAATATCCGCCCCAGCCGCTGGCCCTGCAGTGGAGGGTGAAATTCAGACTTAGTGTGCAGGGAGATGCAGCAGCAGTAGCAGCACCATGCAAGAGGGTATCCACACTGCGGGAACATCTTGTGTACTTCCATTTTTGGGTTGAGCAGGCAGAGTTCTGCGACAAGAATTTGTAAACAAGGGTTTGAAACCGACCCCCCGCAACAAACCGGGGGTTTACCCTGAATAGTGAGATAGACTTAAATAGCGACCGCGACAGAAAGAGACAGAGAGAATACAGGGGCGGGCGATGAAGCCCGGGGGCTCGCCCCCCCCCACGCCCCTAGAAAGAAAAAAAAGAAAAGAGAGAGCGAGGCAGAGAATTCAAAACAGCCCGCGCTAGGCTTGAGCCAGTGAGCAGCCACTTGCAACCAAATGCAAAAGGGTCTGATCATCACAGCCACAACAAGGTTAACCAAAACAAGCCGTGGCAGCAACCCCGCTCGCTTTGTTTATGAAGCAAGCCTCCTCAGGCTGCGCTTCCTTCTGTTCACGCCAGAGTTTGGAAGCGTGAACTCGTTTGCCGCATCATCCTGGGACAAGTTGGCTCCGAGCTTTGATACGGACCATGCCGGTCCTCGCGTGCTTGAGGGCTAGTATAGTGATAAGCGGCCATGGCCCGGGCAAAACCGGCTTTGTCTTGGTTCCACTCAACTACAGAGCTTTTTGGAGGTTATCCGTCATAGATTTGCGCAGTTTGTGGCAGACAGTGTCGTGGAGCGTTCGAAGCTTCACACCACCTAGCTCAACGAGCCAAGCCTTTGAACAGGACTTTTGGATCGTCAGCTGGCAAGGGTGGGACAGCTGGAAGCTTGGCTGACTATGGATGGCTGACTAGATTCCTAGATCGCCTGCTTTTGCTAGGCTGCAACATATACTGACACCCCTTTGGCTTTCGGAAGATTTGCGCGGCATCGCACTGTGAAGGATCTGGCCGGGCCTTAGTAAGGTTTCTGGATGTTTCTGGCTTTTGCAAAAGCAAACCAGCTTGCCAGCTGACAAGAGCTTCAAGAGCTTTGAATCTTTGTCAGACTTGATCCCTGCCTTCTTTTTACACACCAAACATTCTCCAGAGGTGCAATGTTTCGCAATCCTTTTCTTTGGAAGGGTTGGTGTTTTTTGTCGGACGTTTGGTCTCCCGGGCCGTCTTGTCGTCTTCCCCTAGTCCTCTGCTCTTGCAGTCCCTTCCTGGTCCTCTGGTCTTCTGGCCAACAGCGAAATTCCGTGCGATGAAGCTGTAGTCCAAGTCGTCTTCGACTGTTCCGGGGGAACGTATCAAAAAGGTCGCTCATGAGTCACGCAATTTGCTTTGGCGAACATCGTCAGCATTCAAAGGGGATGTCAGGCAGATAGACGTTGCAGGAGGACACCTCGTAGTAGGCCAAACATGTCTGCACAAGCATTGCTGACCATCCCAGGACGGAGATGATCGAGCAAGTTACCCGCAAGGTCTTGTCTTTTGCAGATGGAGTTAGTACCTCGTCTGCAAAGCCAGGATTCGGTTTATCATCCATTTGAGCGTAGTTTCCAACCCTAAACCCTAAACCCTAAACCCCAAACCCTAAACCCTAAACCCTGAACCGGGAGTTGCTGCAGGTACTGTTTGGTATGGGCACTCCATGGGCGCCATCGTTGCGTACGAGGTGCTGAAACGGTTTGACAAGCAATATCGGTCGTATCTTGGAGGCGATGAGAGGCCCGCCCCAACGACACCATGAGGTTTAGGGTTTAGGGTTTAGGGTTTAGGGTTTAGGGTTTCAGGCCGTTATTTTTTCATTGGCCGATATGAGGGGACAAGCTGTCAAGTTGCGGTTGGAACTTCTGAAGCAGCAGCTTAAGGGAAAACCCTAAACCCTAAACCCCAAACCCTAGACCAACGCCACGATGCCTCTCAAACACAAAGGCCGAACTTGCCGGTGGCGCTAATGGTGAGTGGCTGCCCAGCAGCTGCCTTGGAAGCAATGGCAAATTCAGGCTTTAGGATCTTGAGGGTTTAGGGTCTTTAGGGTTTAGGGTTTAGGGTTTAGGGTTTAGGGTTTAGGGTTTAGGGTTTAGGGTTTAGGGTTTAGGGTTTAGGTTTAGGGTTTAGGGCGCAGTGCGTTTGCCGCAGGGCTTCCGCGTGTACCTTCAGCAAACTGCCCCTCGAGAGCACACCCAAAACCAAAGTTTGCGACCCCAAAAGGGCTATATGGAGCGCCGCAGAGTGAATTCGCGTTCATGTTAAATTGGAGTCCAGCTTGTCGTTGGTCAGGCTTTAGAGAGAGAGAGAGAGAGAGAGAGAGAGAGAGACAGAAAGTGAGAGTGAGAGAGTGACGGTGGAGAGTTTCATGAGCGATCACCAGCCAAAAAGTGTCCCTCCCAGCTCGGGGGGATGGTTGGCGCCTCACCCCCCTGCCTGGCAGAACCAGCAGGCAAGTACAATTGCCACATTTGGACCACAAGTGGACGATGACTGGCGTACGTGCGTGGCAAGCGGTGGGTGCGTGCACCAAAAGAAAAGGTCCAGAACGTCCAAGATTTGCCTCACAGGCCCCGCATCTTTTTGCAGCAGACTACCGGTTGCGGCCTGAGCACTGTGCACCACAGACTCCGCAATCTTGAATTTTCATTTCCTCTGACGAGTGCGTCTTGAAGCTATGATCCTCACTGTGCCATGCCCTACTCAATGACAGCACGCAAGACAAAAACACATTGTAATCGGAAGGAGGTCTTTCAGGCCAGGCAAGCCCCACAAGGCCGCAAGACAAGCACGACTTCCTCTTGAAGCTGCGTATACCCGCCCCGATTGGATCTCGTTGCTGTAGTCAGAGAGACTGAGCACAACCGGCCAGCATGGGTCACCCTACGTAAGCACATGACATGTTTTAGTGTTGCTGTAGCGAGGCACATGGTCAAGTCCAAGCCAGGCATACCCAACGACTTTGACATACTGACCCAGGAAAAGCTGCATCCCCAGAAAATCCTGACAGCACTGAGGCTGTTATCGTGCTTGCTGTTCACTTTTTGCCTGTCTTTCTCCAGTTGGGAGCTGTCGGTAGCAAGCTCAGGCGAGAGATTCTGATGAAAGAGCACGCATCTCAGCGATGCTGTGCATTGGCGGACTGGGCAGAAGGCTACCAACAAACACGGTGAGACCCAGCGTCAGCTGGCTCAGTTGTCACACGTGAATGGCTCAGAAGGGTACACCAAGGTTTCAGGTGTGCCTGGACAATCGGCACGATGTCCTCAAGGCTCGGACACGAACGGCGAGTTTGGGGTGTGCCTGCTTGTTTTCTTCGAGACATGATCAAGTCTCATATCTGGAGCCCGCAGCCATGGCAAAAAGCGAAGCACTGTCGGCGGCAGGACGTGACCCTGCATAGCAGCGACTCCTCGGACTCTGCCGGCTGCTCAGCGCCGGGCGACGGACCTGATGTTGCACACCTTGTGTCAGCCTCCTGCCACTTCTTTGATTCTGAATTACACAAATGCGCGACACTCAGCGGCGGGCCCCGGGCCCACCCTCAAAGCCCGGGAAGGGGCGTCCATCGGCTTGATATGAGGTATCTGGGAATCTTTTACCCTAAACCCTAAACCCTAAACCTGGGCTTTGACCGTGTGCGCCACTTTGGGAGCCTTGGGGTCGGCGGCTTCTGCACCACCATCAACTTGCAAGACGACTCAGGTGCAAAGCGAGGCCGACTATCGCAAGGTTCCTGCTTTGGAATTATTTTCTGCCTGCGTTCCAATTGGTCTCCTCTTGTAGGTTTTGGCCCTGGTCGATTTCTTGTTCAAAGTCCCAGCTTGGACTCTCTGGTCTACATGCTGAGAAGCACCCTGCGCCCCGCAGGCCATCGTGACCGATTTGAAGGTTTTGATGGCCTATGCTTTTGAACATGCAGCGGTCTGAGAGTGTTTGAGAGCGTTCCTGCAGTGACCCGCCGCGGTGTCATGTACAACAATTGGAACCCACGATCGGCCTTGCATGCCTCTGCCAGTTTATAAACCCTAAACCCTAAACCCTAAACCCTAAACCCTAAACCCTAAACCCTAAACCCTAAACCCTAAACCCTATTAGGGTTTAGGGTTTAGGGTTTAATTAAGGTTTAGGGTTAAGGGTTTAGGGGTTTAGGGTCCCTAAACCCCAAACCCTAAACCTGATGCGTAAGCCCGGGGGTGGACTCGCTGCAGAAGCGCCCGCAGGGTGAATCCAAAGCAGTGAGCGTCCCGGTCGGTGGCCCTGCTGTCAGCGCATGTGAGTGCATCCGTGCTTGCATGTAGTAGGGTTTAGGGTTTAGGGTTTAGGTTCTAGGGTTTAGGGTTTATGGTTTAGGGAAGTGCTGCATGTGTTCCTGGAAGTTGCTTCCATTGCGGATCATGCGCGGACTCACCGTTCCAAAAACAACCCTGGAGAGGCCTGTTCATCAGATTCAAACATACTTGTCACAAGACTGCCCCAATTGAGGGTTTAGGGTTTAGGGTTTAGGGTTTAGGGTTTAGGGACTCCAACCTTCGGGAAGCTACAGGTCTTCAAGGCTCTCGGGATAGTGCTTGTTTTGTTCTTCGCAAGTACGGCCCTACGACAATCTTCGTGAGGTCGTCGCCATGGCACATGACGAGGACAGCCTTGTGGAGCCGCAGAAAGTCCAGGCTGGTCGATGCGAAAATGTTGCTCCAAGGTGACGACCCCCAATCTCCGCAGTTCTTTGAGTTTGCTGAGTCAGCTGTTGCGGTATCAAGGCCACACTGCATCGATATCCGGGCCTGTTTAAACGGACAGGGTACTGAAATGGGCCGTGGCAGCCCAATTTTGTCGCTTTTCCGTCTGTTTCTCCACAGGGTTACGGAGTTACGGGCAGAGACACAGAGTCGTAGATGGTTGCCTCAGGCTCATAAGGCTCTTTGGCCTCGACGTCTTTGTGCTTTCGCTGAAATAATTTTCGATTTCTGTGAGGCCTGGGAGGCATATGCCCCTGCTGGCAGCTTCGAGTTCGTCGCCCTCGAGGACAATACTCTCAGGTTCGTGTGCCACAGAAGCAGAAGCGCTCGCTCAACGCACATTGTGAATGAATCAGAATCCAGTTCGCACTTGCTGCCGCCCTACAGCAAAGGATGTCACGACCTGTGCTGGCATCATTAAATGCAAAACTAGCATTGGCTAGACCCGGAGAGACTCTGTGCATAATGGCGAAATAATTTATGTACATATATATATATATATATGTACATATATATATATATATATTTGGCGACGGGCAGGTGTGCAAGAATTCTTCTCGTGCAGGAGATTGCAGATTCCGAAGTCTTGGCGGAGCAAGGGCATGGCTATGCCATGCGTTGGGCCCTCAGCTTCCTTCTTCGCTAGGGGCAGTACGGAGGATTTGAATTCCAAAGCCTCCTGAAGGGCCGATCGGTCTCGAAGGCTTCAATCTTGCCAAAGGGGCAAAGTGTGCAATTTTTTGCTCCTGCCGGGCCGGAACGAGGTCCTGTCCCGGAGCTGATTGCGAAGATCTCAGACACCATGCTCAAGCACCAGATCCCCAAGGAGCCCTCCCAAACCTGACTTGGCTCGGCCGCATAATTCCTGTTTCCATGTGTTAGAAAAGCTCATGGGCTGAAGGATGACGTTGGCTAATGGCAGAACTAAAGCTTCGATCCAGCAGGGAAGAGAGGAAGCCTGAACATGTTGCGGAGTCGTGGGCTCGACGACATGCGCATGTAACATACCCAGCGTGGCGAGAATTTTTCCACCCGAGCAAATTATGTTACTCTTTCTGCACCGTTGACGTCCTTTCCGCACTAGGAGGCTGCGAGGGAAGGGGGCCCGCAAGGGTTCTGGGATCTCGCGCCGGTCATGTGGCTGAGGCTTTCTGAACATGATGTCCTCGGCCATGAGTTTCGGCACGCTGCTCGTTCCATGGCAAGGTTTGCAGTTTGGCAACACTGCGTACTTCCACAAGCCGAGCAAGGCGTTCACGCTGCTTCCCCTGCTCAGCTTCAGTGGGACCTGCCACCAAATTTGGATCAACCACCGGCGCCATTCTTGCCAGTGTGACTTGTGCTGGACCAGGCATCAACAATCATCTCGGTGTCGGCCACCCACTGCACGATTGTTGCCGTGTCATAGATGCCCTGGCTGCCCAGCAGCATGCGCCCCTATGTGCTGTCTCTGACAACGCCATGGATCCCCGTCCACATGGCTCGCTGCAAAGAGCGCCAGGCCTTTTTGATCCTGCCCGCCTGGAGGCTCGATTGGATCCCAGGGCTTCCAGCTGGGCCTTGGCGGACTCCCTTTCTTGGGACGGATCTTCTGGCCCCGCATGTTCTGGCAATCTCACCCAAGAACTGACATGGCACCTGGGAACCTTCGGTCGGGCATCCAGCCTCTGACATTTAAGCAGGACGACGTGTCGGCGCACTGCTCAAAGTCGTCACAACCGTCACAAGAGCAACGGCCCCCCATGTCAGTTCTTGGGTTAGATTTGACACATCTGGTGCCCGAAGGTGACGGGAAATACGAACGAGCTGTATAGGAGCCGGCTTGTGCTGACCGGCGGCTGCGCCATCTTCAGCATTCTTCAGCGGCCAAATGACGCAGCGCCTTCAGTGTTAACCCGAAGCCAGAGAGGTCGGAAGGAGGCCTCAAGATGCCCACAGACGTTTTTGTAGACATCTTTGCTGGCAACTACAGACGAGCTTGTTCCACATGCAGCAATGCGAAATCGCTGGAGATGCTGATGTCTAGCCCGGCTGAGAAACATTTTGCTCGGAAACGACACTGGGAGATTTTTCTGGTGTGCTTGGAAGGGAGCATGGAACTTGAAGGGCGAGGAGGATTGCCAGGAGAAGGTGAGTTGGAAGGAGATGAGATTGCTGTGTGACGACGTGCCGTCTCGAGGCTCTCACCCCCAAGCCTTTGCCATAACATCACCCTTCTTTCGCCACCCTTCTTCCAATCTTCCAGACCTTCACCCTGCAATGTACATTCGTGCATGGTGCATTTCTCGGTGTGCGTGCGCGGGTGTATATGTGTGTGTGTGTGTGTCTGTCTGTGACTCTGTCTGTGACTCTCTCTGTGACTCTGTCTGTGACTCTGTCTGTGTGTGTGTGTGACAGGCGAACCTGCGCAAAGGCCGTGAGAATCCTATCGAGCAGCAGTAGCCACGGTGAGTGGCTGCGCTCCTAGCCTACTACGAATGACTGTCCGCTTGCCCAATACCCGGTACGGAGTACGCTGAACAACTCCTTGTGGCATGTGTGGCGGAATGTCGAATATGTGCAGTTGAAACCTGTAAATGTGATAAGAAAGCAATTAGCTGAGCTAGCTTGCCAAAGCTGCCGAAAAACTGAGAGAAGGACCTGGCCACAATCCTTCCGGACATTGGACCCACGGACGGTGACATCCCGGCAAGTGCGCGGCACTCATATTTGCGATATTGGCTCATTTTTGGGAGGCTTCGGGAAGAGCTGTAGATCTACCAAGAGCTGACAGAGATTCGGCGTGGGAGATTCAACTCGCACTCACGCACTGCTCTCTGGCACTCATAAACACATCTTCATATGAATATAAATACAAATGCAAGCACAATGTCACAAATAGTATATATATATATACAGATAAATGATAATAAAAAAAAATATATATATATATATAGATAAATGATAAATAAATAAATATATATATATATGATGAGACGCTGAGACCGACTGCATCATCGTCGGTGCGGGAATTGCCGGAGTAACCACCGCCAGGGCCATGGCAGAAGCTGGGAGGCATCTAGACGTGTGTAGCACTTGCAGAGCTCTTCATGTCAGTCGTTTCATGTCTTGACATTTGAGCATTTAGTGACTTTAGTGCTTTTACGATCCGGTTGCGTTCCCTGCTTAGCGTCCGCTTGGGTCTGAAATCGGCCGCAGGGACCTCATCGTCTTCGACAAGTACGATGCCATCGGAGGGTTTGCCAGCCAGTTTGCTTTTGCCAGCAGCTGCCAGCTCGGCAGTCTCCGAAGAGTTCGCAACGATGGCAGATGACATCAGATGACAGGATTTGGACGTACTACGCCAACATCTTCTCCCGGGTGAACACTTCAGAGGTTGGTTACCGCTGCGTGGCGGCAGTATCTGGCAGTATCTGGCAGTTCTGAAGCTGCTTGCGGAGCCATGGACACACTGATGCACCTGGAGTTCAGGAATGGTGAATCAAGAAGGCCCGGGTTCTCGTCCGAATGAGGACATGGAACGCCATGGCAGTGGGGGCGGGCCTTGTTCTTGAGGTTTGCAAGTAAAAGTCCGAGTCCAAGACTACCAGGATGACTTGCGTAAATGTGCGAATCTGGAGCTGCAGTGGGGGGATCCAGAGGCGTGTAGCACCACTTCCAAAAAGGGAAGGCGTCGTTGCAAGGAGTCGCTTCTGTTTCTAAAGTCTGGTGATTGTGAATTTTGGACTCTCCTCCAGTTGCCGCACCCCATGCCTCCAATCTGGCCGTGCTTTGGATTGTTCTGTTCTCCAAATGCGCCCGTATGTCTGAGACAGGAAAGTTCTGCTAACCTCAGCTTGGCATACTTGAGCCAGCCTGTGTTGCCAACAGCCTTACTTTGGGAGTGTGGATGTTGATTCTTATGGGCTTGCTGAACAGTACCTCACAGTCCTTGTGACCCAAGCGCCCTCCCGGGCGACTCGGCTGGAAAAAGTCGGAATGAGCGAAAGGGTCTATATCCCCCAGGGCCCCCAAATCCCATCCCCGAATTCCACGACCATCCGGATCCTCAACGAAGTGACTTAAGCCATCTCAAGCCTAACTGGCTCTTTCAGGACCACTCTCCCACGCACGACATCCTTCGGGACTTGTACACGGCAAGACTCTCAGAAAGTCTTCATGCAGGACGCTTTGGTTGGCGAAGTGTCGCCTTCTCATCTCGGTAGTTGAGCACGCTGGATGTCCCCTTGCGTACTGGCCTTAGCCAAACCTAAGGCTGTAGAGGTATGCAAACTTGTGCAAAACTTCTGCCAAAGTGACCGTATATATATATATATATATATGTATATATGTATCGTGCATGTGGGTGTTGGCGCAAGATTGCATAAGGGTTGGTAAAGAGTGCAGGTCGCGGCGATGTTTGCTCATGGCAAATTCCGCTGTGGCGTCGAGATTCTGAAGGTTCGGCCCGAAACAGACTGCTCTTGAACTGGGGGCTGGTATTTGCGGGCTGGGGTCGAGTTGTACACAAAACGTTTTTCATGCAGGCACTGCTGTACAAGCTACGTACTCTTTGCAGAATGCATGGGCCATGGATAGACTTCAGGGACCTGAATAGTATTGAACGTCAGGACCTGATCTTTTCGAGAAAGAGTGTTCTGAAAGCCAGGCCTTGTTCCAAGAGAAGAGCGGACAACATAGTCCCTAGCAGCCTAGCACCAAAATTCAGCAGCCATGTTTGGCATGTGGGTCTGTGCTAAGAACCCCGCTCGGTATAGTCGTCCTACTTGCTATGTTGCTGGTGTTCCTTTCAAGAGGGTTGCCCCAGAACGTGAGGCCGAGTCAAGTAGTAGCTGTATAGCTAAAATCACTCCATTGTAGGCATTGCAGGCTGGCACGGGACTGCCCTTTGCAGGATTGTTTGGGAGCAGACCTTCACATGATTGGTAAACAAGAATTGGCTTTGACTTAGACCCATGCAGACCCGTTTTCCAAAAGCCCCAGACCCACGACCCAAGTTAGCCACGCGCGCAGCTATGAGGGAGCTCAGGGTTTTAAGCTGGCAAACTTTACCCTTCATTGAGGCGGCCTCATTTAAACAGAGTGCGACATCATTGGAGAATGTGGCAGAGTTGCTTTCACAGTGACTTTTGCACACGACGTGCCTGTTCCCCGTGTCCCAAATTGTGCGCGCAGGTGAAGCAGCAAAAGGACAGTTTCGGGGTTTATCTTGGTGTTTCCTGCCAGTCTTCATCGGGTAAGTATGGTCAATCGGATTCCATCTACTTACGTCGTCCATTCTGTTCTCGAGCACGTAGCTGAGAGCCACACAAGCGACCACGACTCCATCAGCCTCTCGAGCAGGACAAGACATACATGGTCGAGTGGAAAAGGTTGAAGACGGGTGAGACGGGCAAGGCATTCCCGATGCAGGGTCCGGATGTTGCTCTTGGGTTGGCAAACTGCAAGTGTTGCGCAACTCGGGCGCTTTCCCACCAGCGACGTTGCATGCCTTTGCAGGGATCCTGCTTTGCTGGGTAGACGTGTTCTGGCACTGTTGCTGTGAGATGCTCTAAATATTATGACGGAAGCTGCGGAGTTCTGTGCGGCGCAGATCCACTGTAAAAGCGTTTGCTTCCACACGAACCGGCGGATCGGAAAGAGCTG